ATTAGCTAGGTATTTCCCTCCTTTCTCACTGAACCTAACGGATCATCGCAATTGAAAAACCTCCAATTGACAAGTCGGCTGTTGTCAGAGAAATGCAATTGATGGTCTTGAGGTGACAAACTAAAGGATATTGGTCAAAATTAGAAGCATTCACCTCAAAGGTGCACGCAAATAAATTTCTTCCCTGAAAATGATCCACGCCTGGTTAAAGCCTTCAAAGGATCAGTATCAGTGTACATGAATTTAACTAAGATAGATGTATAAGTATATTGTGAAATTTAAGGCTCCTCAGTGCATATTGTTTAGAACTTTCCTCGCTCTCGTTACAAATCACCTTATTTGGGTAAGTGGTTATGTTTATATCTACACGTAGCAAGACTCGAATAAGTTGAGTAATCAGCTTTTGAGCCTTTACGAAACAACTATCAGTTTAGTCAAATAAAGTGCGCACTTGATATTGCTGCAGTAACCGTTCATCAAGGAGAAAGCCAATACCGACGAAAAAGACGAAAAGGAGGTAATTATGTGTCTACACACCGATACAAGGTTCTAATGTTGAAAATTACAAAATTCTATGAAGGTGCTAATAAACATTGAGTTAGATATCATAATTGATCTACAGAAAAAAATGTAGGTGACTGAAGGATAGGGTACGTGCTTGTAAAAACCTTTCTTATGACGGACAGTAGTTATAACTGTAGCAGCTGATAGAGGGTTCAAAATATATCGCGATTATTGGGCGTTTTAACGATAGAACTTTGATTTAAGTAAGATAAAGAGACATTAGTTTCAAGGTTGTTAAAAAATTATAAGGGAAAACGAGTACTAGCTTGATCTTTAGTCATTATCATTATTATTATTGTTATTACTGCTTTTAAAAAAGGTACCGGGCAGTTGCATGTAGGTCAAGGGTATGTACTCATTGCACTAATCCAGGAACGGAGGTAACGGAGAAGATAGTGATAACTGAGATTAAAAGCCCTTCAACAAAGATATTAAGAAGTGATAGCTGACTGTTCAAACACTACTTCGAAATTGGGGTTGAGTGCTGTCCCTGGTGCCCAACCAGAATTCTCGATAGTTTCATGGGATGCAAATAATCAAATTTATATGGTTTTATTAATGCAATACTTTTAAAAGCTGTTTGTGTAGTGCAAGAGGGAAAAAGTAAGCTTGCGCCCGGAAAGCCCACTAGCGAAGGTAAAAAGCAATTAATTTATCTTTTGAACTCCGAATTGTTTAACATATGTTGTATTTACTCCTGCTTGCAATGCGTGTTGTTCATAAGCTTGACAGATGGTTAACTGGGCCAATTTACTTGTCTAAAAGCGGGCAATGAGTTTACTATGTAGACTGTTTCACAAATTTATTTGACAGAAGTTGTTTTTTTACTCTACTCGTGACAGTAAGAGTCCATATAATATATGACATAAATCCAAAACATTACCTTGAAGGCATTCATACTTTATTCTAATTTATAACTTTGCTTTGATACAGCTAGAAAACCTGAGGAGGAGGTGGCGAGTGAAGACATTCCAGGGCCCAGTGACAAAGGTATTGGAAAGAGAATGGTTTTTGATTGATCACTCAAGAGGTTGAGCCACTTAATGAGTTATCGCAGCCTCGTTTTTACTTAGGTAGTCACTGGAAAAAATTCTATTAAAGAAATCGGTTGAAAATCAATGACTTTTTGAAAACGCTTAAGTGAAGCAAAAAGTTGAATTACTGAGTGGTAATGTACTATTCTATCATATAAATCATTTTCTGAAGAAGCTAAAAGAAGAAGGTAATAATTGAATATCTCTGTAGGTAGAAGTGTCTAACACCGATGGACCGTTCTTACGTTCAAAATTCTAGTTCTTTTTAACGTACACTTCTATATGGAATTAATTATCATGATGGATCTACAGATAGAAAACAGAAGTGACCGAAGGTTAAGGTGCTTGCAAGAGCCCTTCCTTAATGATGGACAGTCATCATCGGTGTAGCTTAAAGCTGTTGATACAACAGTTGAAATATATAGGGATAATGGCGGGTTTCAATGAGCATAATACCTTCATAATATCAGAAACTTCAAATATAAGGTAGTTCTAGAAAAACGAGCAGCAGCTTGACATTTAGTCATTTTTGGTTTGCTGTTTTGATAAAGTTAACGTTACAGGGGTTCATATTCCGAGGGGAATAGTTTGATTAGCCCCACCCTACATGCTGCGCCTGGTTAGAAGTTGATAGACATTTTTTTGACATTTGATCACCTTTTTTGTTCCTTCGATCGTTGTAATTGTTCTTTCCCCTCCTTCCCACCGCGGTGATGGGGACATACCAAATCGTACCTTACATGTATTGAACCAATAAAAACCAGTGATAGAAAAAGGATATTTAACGGAAGGGCTAAGGTTATACGTTTAACCTTACTATTTAAGTTGCTTCTGACATTATCATTAACCAATTCGCTGTTGTTAGCGCCACCTTCAAAGTTGTGTTCACGAACATTCTTGAT